AGAGAGAGAAAGAGAGAGAGAGAGAGAGAGAGAGAGAGAGAGAGAGAGAGAGAGAAGAGAGAATGAAAGAATAATTGTGAAACTGAACGATGGTGATATACGAATATTCTTACTACACTTATTTTTTGTTCATTGTCGGTATATATATAAAGTAAGTATGTTACTAGTATATTTCTGGCTTCGCGCGATTCTGGGCGTTCGCCTAGATTGCCTAGCATATCGTAAACACGAGTTTATCGAAAGACGATAGAATAGCGTAAATAATAATAAGAGAGAACAGTAACACTTGTATTATAATAATATGCGTCGTTCACTGCAATTCTATTGACGATTCTGCCAGTTAATTCACCGCCAAACTTTTGCAGTAGAAAATAATCGTTTAACCCTTTAACTACAAATTCGATTTTTGATTCATCATAAAGAACAGCAAGTAACACTTTGTGTTAATACTACTGTAAACTAGAAGACACATTCTTTCTCAATTAAATATATACCCAGATAGCACAATGATGTTTCAAAAACATATTAAAAACATAGGTATTGGACTACATATTTAAAATATTCAGATTATATCCTCGGACATTTTTAGAATTATTCTAAAGATGTCCAGCGTTACTTTTCTGAACATTTTAAAATTGTCTATTTTAAATATCTAATAGGCCACAAAAATGGATCTATGTAAAACGTTTTTCTCAATTCAAATAGACAGATAGTAAAAATAAACAAATAAACTCGGATTTACATTAAAAATGAGTAACGTATTTAAGTAAGAGGGAACAGAATCACGACACTAAGCGGAGTCGGACCGATCACCTCAATTACAAGAAAGAATGATATCTCTAATTATGTATTTGACGGTATATTTGTGTTAAAAAATCCAGTATACTGCCAAATACGTGTTTAGAGATAATTCTTTCTTGTAACTGAGATGATATATATCAATTCGACCCGCTGAGCACCGTTCCCCGTTCTTCCCTAATTAGTACGTCAGCTTACTTAAAAAAAAATTAAAAACAAATTTAAAGTAAGTATTGCAGCTACATACATATGTCACTTCGCTAAGTAGAGCGTGAGGTTGATAATATTCTCGTTGCCATGCGGGATCGAGTCCTGTCGTGATCTCCATCTCTTTTTTTCTCTATTTTTTTTTTTTTATTTGAATTTGCTATTATTTTACACTAATTTTTAATTTCTACATAGTTTTTTTTTATTTTCCATAAAAAAATGTTAAAATATTTAATAATTGTATGTCGGTTTTTATATTTACTCTGTTATTATTATTATTATAATAACTTTAAAATATGAACAAATTGAAAATTATTGTGAAATAATAATAGAATTTAAAAAATTAAGAAATAAAAAAAAATAGGAGTCACGACGGGACTCGAAGAATGAGTAAAATCATTAACTCTATCCTCAATCACTGCGTAATCAAATTAATTGAGATTTAGTTCTATAAAACTGAAGAATATTGCGCAGCATGTATATCAAAACAAAACGGCTATAAAATGGACATTTTTAAAACATTCAAATGTAAATACACTTTGTACGTCTAATAATAATGCACACATTCTTAAACCGTACATATGTTCCCGGACGTTTCGATTAAATAAGACCCAAATTTGGACGTCCAATGAACGTTGTGCGCTGTCTGGGTATAATCTTTTGCGATCTCGTAAGTCTTAAAAACGCAAGTGTGTATCTACCAAATACAAAAGAAAACCAAAACTACAATTGAAAAATAAATTAGTTGTCTAGAAACAAAATTAAATATACTTTAAACATAAATCAAAATGTTTAAATGATTGTTTATCGTAGAATTAACAATTTAAGTCATGTGTATGTAATGAATAAGGATCCAAACGTTCAATTAAACATTGATTCTAGTATATACGCATTAAGAATTCTAGTATATACACACAATTATAGACACATTAAGAATTAGCTTTAACGTAAATACATATAGTTTGTGAATGCGTACAATTAATGAAAAAAATGAAAACAATCGCACATATTTGCGCTTAACGTAAAATAAGTCGTAGCATCGGGTTAAAGGGTTAATAACGACGAATAGTTTTTCGAGTCTTTGATTCTTTCGCAAAATGAAGATATTCTGTTTGAATTGCGTTCGTATATAAATTGCAGTTGCACTCAAACAAACAGTGTACACATGAAGAAAACAGCATTAGCGCTTTAAAAAACAAAATCGCGTTGGTTTTTAAGATTTATAGTTTCGAAAAAAAAAAAAATAGCTTGGCCTTAATTCTAGAAATCTCTCACTGAAAAAACTAATTCATCCATTCAAAAAAAAAAAAAAAATATAGTTAACAATTTATATGTCTCTAGACGCGATTGAATTCTCTTTTACTCATATCATATTGTAAATTTCAATACACACAATATCTTGAGACAATAAATATATATTGAATGTTACGAACAACATTATCGTGTATTGACTTTTTGTTTGTAGTTATTGTACCGATTTTCTACCCATATCTTTTCAAATTATACGTATATGTATATTTTTTTACCAGGTTAATTAATGATTAATTATTTAAACATAACAAAAAGCATAGTGCAAACTAAAAATTTACTTGATTTTACATCTGTCTATTCTAAAAATTAATTTTTTTTGTAGTTTTAAAATGCAGATGATCAAGTAATCTTGCATATAACTAATTCACTTAGAGGATATTACAAATGATTTTGTAAATCTTTTCAAATAGCAATAAAAGACTTCTTATTTAAAGATTGAATTTAAAGAAATAAATTTTTCACATAATTGTTTTCTATCTGCTTATCGAAAATCCACAAGAAACTATACACCAAGATGCATTCTTTTAACTGCAATTATAGTGCCAAAAGAGAAACTTGAATAAGCACCAACGTATGAAAACATTGCCGCAAACTCTGCGACGCAATGAGAATTCTTCATCATCATCCAACTTCGAAATTGCTGCGGGATATTTGCTCACATCTCGAATTCCAAAGGTTAAATGGCAAAAAATATTAGAAGACGAAGCTGTCAATCATGTCATTGACTCTGTTTTTGCGAAGAGATAGTCCGATCGGCTGCAGACGTGATTTACGGATATTAAAGGTTTACCTTCGGGAAGCAGTTTACGATTTTCTTATCAATCGCGTGTACGAGGATTGGATGCGCGTGTTTAAAGTGATTCAAGAGAAATAGATACACATCAAAATTTGATAACACCGTTTTTGTTTTTTAATCTTTATTTCTTACTCGACGCATTCGGAATACGATCCAGAAACAACATCCCTTTCAACGATCACGAATAAGATGTTGACTTTTAAAGATTTCCGATCCTTTTTGCAGTGTTTCGATATTCTATTCAGACGACTCGAGAAAGTACTTGTAGATGAGGTACCAGCGAGATGCCCTGCGCGAAAAATACTACATGCAACTAAAAACTGTGTACAAGCAAACACGTCTAATTGAGAAAATGAAAGAAACTTATTTGCAATTAACAACTAATAAGATAACTATATAGCCACACTCATGTAAAAATATAATTTATAAAGTTGTTACTCACCGAAGAGAGTGTAATACAATCGCCCTTTACAATCATGTGCGATTAATATGTTTTTATTGTATTGCGCGTTTTGTCTTAAGAAGAATTATATGATAAACATATGTGCACATGAGAGAATTGTTTCTATTTTAACTCTATACAACCATGTAACAAAACGTGTTGCAAACGCGCGCGCTCGACTCAATGCACATCTGCGTGCGCCTCACGGAAGCGCGAAAAGTCGTGAGTCGTGAATTTCACCGTAAACTAATTTAATTCTATATTCACTGCGAACGCTCAATACATTACGACATACACTTACTACTACAATACTGATCGCGAGATAATAATAATCGCGAACAAATTCCGAGACAAGTCAACTCTGCTCCGCGTCGCGGACGCTCTCGATATATCGAAGTGCGTGAAAATCGAAATATCAAATCAACGCACGCGGCAGAATATATCTTCGACTATATGTACGTAAGTATATTTGTAAGTAAATTATGTTTAATCTTTTTAAACTTTGATATTTATTTAGTGTGTTATGAAGTTCGCGCGTCTGTATTACAAATGGCAGGGTATCTTAATCTGCCACTCCACTTAATGCCATTACCTGTTAGTGATCTATGTATAATAATGTGAAGACCTGCAATGCATTCGATTGGATGCACTAGTGCGCAATGAGTGAATGAATATTTTACTACACATTGAAAAAAGACGCACTAGTGCATCCAATCGCATTTGAAGTAAAAGACAAATACCTACATGTCTTCATCCTGGTGAAAAAATAATAATGATACATATTTGCTACCGAACAACGGCAAGAAAGTCTAACCAAAGAAATCACGATCTTTTTCCTGGCAAGTCGCAAGATTTTATATAGAGCATCAAATCTGTGATTATTCAACCTCAATAATTACACCGTGTAATCACTTAATCATATGTGTTTTACAAATAAAACTTTTCAAACAATATACCATAAACTATATTTAATAATATATTTATATAACATATACAAACTATAATATACCAGTCAAAAAAATTATTAAGTTACAAATACTTTCTCTGATTTCAATAGTATTACGACTTGTCATCTTTTATGGTCGCTTCTTTTTCTTTGACGTACTAGAATCAAAAAGTTGATTATAATCAAAAAAACATTGTTTTGCGTTTTTCATGTTTGATTTTATTTTCATACTGATGTTTACAATTTACAAAAATGTTGTTGTAATGCAAACAATTCCAGTTTCATATTTTAGGCTAACATGTATACATTTTAGGTTTCTTTTCAATTCATCACAGAATATCATACTAGTCAATAACTGAGTCTACGCGTTCACAGACTCACAACGTATTGAATATAAAACTAATCTTAACTATAACACTTTTTGTACTTGCGTTTCTATTATCGATATAATGTCACGAAAATATCAACTGTTTACAATCAATAAGTACATATCTAAACTTGATTCTCTTTTATCAATTCTATACAACTCTGTATAAATTACTTTTGATTCTACTTTCTCGTACATCTCGAAACTATAAATTTAAAAGTTCGCATATTAAAATAAGGTAAACTGTTACAAGATGTAGTAATAACTATAATTGCAAATACAATTATTACAATTGCGTAAATGTAAACGTCTTGCACAATTACTTTTTTTAGATACGATATTTACAGTTTTGTTACACTTCTTTAAATAATTGTAATGTCAAGTAATATTTTCTATCGGAATATAAAACATTTCTCGTTTCTAGCTCGTTGTTTTTCAATTTTTTAATATGACACATTAACTAAACTCCCGAAACTATCCTCTAAAACCATCTCATACTTTTTATGTCGTGTACTAAATGCAGAATAAAATTTAACATTTGGTTTTTGTGACTTAAAATGTTTAACATCCTCCAGAGTTACAGAACAACCAGTTATATCCAACTCTATTAAGTTTGGTAATTTCGACAACAGAATATTGATATCCGTTCTTGTAACATACGAATAATGTCTAAAAACAAATAAAAGCATCAGTATGTAAAATAGTTTTAATTTTTGTTTTTTAGACTTACGGTTTACCTAATATGTAATATCCTCAAATTAGTACATCTACTTATACAGCGACTAATATTTGATAACAAATAGTTTTGAAACTGATTGTTTCTGTAAATGATTATTTCTTCAAATTCGTTTTGGTCAAGAAGAGACTATAGCAAAAGAACTTATATTATCATTCAGTGCGCAACAAAATATTAATAACTTTTGTTAATACTATTGTATAATACACGTAAGCGTGTATGTTTGAGAGACACAAATAAAGAAAACAAAAAAACGAACGTACTTCTACTTCACATAAAAAGTTATAAAGCTTTTTATCATAACACCGTAAAGAAATATATTCTTCAAAATCAAAGATCTGTAACTCTTGTAATGATTCAATTGAACATATTTCCCTTAAATATTTAGGACATTGTAGATACACTTCCTCTAAAGATTCAATTTGACAAAACCATTCAACTAACCTATGTTCTACTAGTGTGTTTGTAAAGTCTAAAATCTATAAAAAAATACAACAGAAAGAAAAACGTTTCTAGAAACGTGTGCTTTCAGCTATAGAAAAAACAAAAGTGTGCAGTAATATTAATGTTTTGAAGTAAACATTACCTTTAGGTTGTGGCATTTACAAGTGAAAGTGACTAAATCTATGTCTGAATTAAATTCTTGTATGCGAAAACATGATTCTAGTTCAAGTTTTACAAGTTCTGTAAAATTACTTATACTTATTAGAAATGATGTCGATGATTGCGATTCCCATAGAACATTAAATAACTGCAAAGACTAAAATTTATATTTTTACTACAGTATTGTGTCGTTATAAACAATGTGTGTGTGAGGGTGTGTTTGTATAATGCAATACAATAGATATATAAAGATACGTAAAATATGTAAAATATATATATATATGTGTATAATACAATAACTTACTTTTACATTGGGAACGATTCTACATATTTCAGGAAAAAAATTGAACGTATAAAATTGCAGCTTATGACTAAAACAAGCTATACAATTTGCGATAAAAAGACACTCAATAGTTGTTGACATGTCTGGCGTAACCTAAAATCAAGCTTACTATAGTGACATGTATATATACTAAAAGTGAACACAAAACTTTAACTAATGTATAAACCGCATAACCGCACATTTATATTTATATTTAAAACCACATTAAAAATGCTATACGTAGAGTGTGTCTCGCATAATAGGACCCTGATAGGAAACTATTTACAAAATTATGTGACAAAATCTTGCACTAAAATTGTAATTTGCAATTATACAGACATATTTTAGGAAATAGATGTAAAAACATTGATCTTTTCTGAAATATTTGTAGTCGTTTGCAAAATTACTTTCCAAAATACTATTTCGGCAAAAGAATAACGATATGGCGAATCATCTTAGCAGTATATTTGCAAAATTAAGTTCACAAAGATTCACAAAAAAATTGTCCAATAATTGAGAAAAGAAATTCAGCAATGTGATGTTTCAAATATGTAGAAATATGATTGCATATGAAGAAATGCAAGAAATTGTCGTCACTCATGGTGCCATTTTTGTGCACTATTTTCACAAATGTGCCTATTAGGGTACTACAAAAATGTCAAATGTACTTTGATCGTGCTATAATTGTCACAAACATATTTGATGATATATCATACGATTATTATCATTATTATCATTCTAAAAGTAGGTAAACGTAACAATCTGTACTTCTGTAAGTAATAATACTTTTTATATGTATTGTCCTAAGTTTATATAAAGGCAGCGGTAAAATATCGTATAAAAACATTGTATTTTACATTTTGTCTGACTAGTTTTTTTAAGAAATTTAGACTTTGCACAAAACACTTTATATACAAGTATTACTTAACACGATTACATTGTAAGCGATTGAGTTCCGAACGGCTAACGCAGTTTATTTTAGCATTAAGAAAAATGTACTAACACTTGAAATCAAGATCGTACCGCATAAAAAAGTAAGTAAAGAAACTATCATATTTTATTCTTCTAATAACTTATACGATTGAGCTGTTTGTTCTATGTGTACGTACTGTGTAAATATTTTTATAAAAAGTAAACCATACCTCATCTAAATTAATAAAATAGTCCTGGAGTTTTAATGTGTGAAGTATCTGGCATATTTGTTTTACTTGAAAAAAAAACAAACGGTCAAGGATATTTTTTTCTCTTTGTTTGAGATCTCCACGTAGTTCCAAGGTATGTGTTAATGGGTCTAAAAAGTTTTCATACGGTTCCATTTGAGACGGAAGAATAGGTTTATTGCTATAGTCGTAAGTCCAGAAATAACTATGTAATCTTGAAGAACTACGTAGTATTATTTTTGAAAATCTTGTGCAACACCTATAAGAAATAAATTCCACAAAAAAAGATATATATATATATATATAATATATATAATATACATAATATATATTTTTATATATATATATATATATATATATAGTAGCTTAAAAAAATATAAATTATAACTCATTTTTTGCAACGAGAGACGAGTGATAATATCCCAAACGACTATGTATATTGGTACGAACCGTTACACATACATTATGTGTACTAATAAGTTTGTTGTTTTGAAAGATACAGTTTGTCAACAACAGCAATGTCGTACTTCTGTCGCTATCTATGCATAGTTTCGGATATTTATTTATCACTTGTTTCATGTAACTAAACAAAACTCACAATCTGAGATTTCTCAAATCTTCCTTGTCTACATGTTGGAAAATACGAGACAAAAGTATATCTGGGTAGTCAAGAATATTTGTTGCTTGGTGTTCCTTTGTCTTTTTAACTTGTATTGGCACATCGTGTTTTTGCTGTTTCGTTTGTTCAATTTCTACTTCAAGTTCTATGTTACTGTGAGTTCTCTTTCTAGGTGTGCTTTCCGAAGAAGTCGAAGGTTCATCCGGGTTCATTTTTCTTTATTTCTTATATTTTTATATGAAAGACAATTAATACTGAGAAACAAGAAAATAAAACTAATGTACATTTAAAAACTTAAAATATTATTTTGTTTGTGATATGCTTACGTTTAGTACTACTAACGGCGACTGTGAAGAACTTAAACTTCCGAAATGTCGAGAGATGTAACACACGTCTAATCTTATTTGGCTTATAGGAGCTGAACACAATGCCGTAAGTCCGTTTCATTAACTTTCTTTTTTAATTTTAACTGCCATCCCCACAACTTCTTATTTCTGCCTATGCTGTTTTATCTGTCAGTTTTATTATCTGTGTTTATCTTTGATTGACACATTACTTACGTCATACTGTGAATGTGTGCCACTTATAACTATAGATTTCTTCTTTTCCTACTGACAGTATTGTTGATGTAATAAAGAATTACTGCACCTTTGTCTTTATTTGAAGTTTATACAAGATAGATAGTTTTAATTAAGTAGGAGGGTATACGGAGTTTTTCATATATGAGATGCAAAAGTAGCATACAAATTTTAAGAGTGAAATTTTAATTCGAAATACTCACGTGTAAGATTTACACGTGAACACGTATACATATGTGTACATCTATATATACACGAATATTATCGCAAAACTTCCAGCGAATTATTGGCTCTTAATGACCGATTTACATGTACTTATAGATATTTATATTTTCACGATGATCGGAAAAATAGACGGAATAAGTCATACATGTGCTGTAACACTTGTACTAGATGTGTGACGTATGTAGGTACAATATTTGTAATATCACACAGTTTGGAGATCTTTTTATAATTATATATAACAGTAGGCAAACTTTTTTGCTTTTGTATATATTCTCGTCAAACCTTAAGAATCACTTTTATTTTATTACAGAAACCGAAATAACTACAGAAGACAATATAATATCATACTCGGCAGTTTGGTTTAAAAAACGGATTATTAAATTGTACAAATATTAAATGAAGTATTTTTGCTTTTCAATAAACGCAGAATTTAAAAACATTGGTTTTTTGTCGCCAACAATTTAAAACATATGTCATTGTTTTTAATAATTGTTTGATATGTAATAAGTACTAATGAAGATTATAGAAATAAAAAACTAACGACAAACTACTCTTGGGAAAAATTACTTCAAATACAGGTAAAGTTTTTGAAAGTATTATTTAATGTGTAAGAGAATTTATTTGTAATAAATTTTGAAGTACTTTAAAGTGTGTAAAAGATTGATGTAAAGTGATCTAAAAAATTTAAAAGAATTTTAAGAGTGATTTTAAGATAATCTTAGAAAAACCGAAGATTTTAAAAAGTGACTTTAAATAGTCTTTAAGTCTTCTAAAGGAGTAAAAAAATAACTTTATAGAATCTCAGTAAATCGTAGGTAACCTTAAAATAAAATTTTACGATCAAGTTTTCCAATACGTTTCAATCTTGAGTATAGAGTCTTACGGAAATGAACTTTTAAGAAGAGTTATTGTATAGTTAGTTCAAAGATGTTCTTTAAAGTTATTCTTTTTATTATTTCCGTTGCATCTAAGTTTTTTAAGATTTGTAAAACCTAAACATTTGTTTACTTTTATATATAAAGACAATTCATATCTTTAACTAAGAAATGAATGGTAAATCGTTGAGAGCTGTTCGCTGGATGTTATGCGGGGCATATGTCTATATATATATTCTGATAGGAAACCATTTACAAAATTATGTGACGAAATCTCGCACAAAAATTGTAATTTGCAATTATACAGACATATTTTAGAAAATAGATGCAAAAACAGTGATCTTTCCTGAAATACTTGTAGTTGATTGCAAAATTACTTTCCAAAATACTATTTCGGCAAAAGAATAACGATATGGCGAAATGTGCCTATTAAGGTTATAATATATTTTAATAGGCACATTTGTGAAAATATTTCACAAAAATGGCATCATGAATGGCGACGATTTTGCAATGATTGCACTAAGATGATTCGCCAAAACGCAACAGTTTTGTCGAAATAAAATTGTGTAAATAATATTTGTCACAAATTGCGAAAAAGTCGTTATGCATTGTTACAGTATACCTCCAATAGACAAATTGTGAAAATATTGTACAAATATGACATCATGAGTGACGACGATTTCTTGCATTTCTGCATATGCAATCATATTTCTACATATTTTAAACATCACATAGCTGAATTTCTTTTCTCAATTATTGGACAATTTCTTCGTGAACTTACTTTTGCAAATATATTGCTAAGATGATGTGCCATATCGTTATTCTTTTGTCGAAATAGTATTTGGAAAGTAATTTTGCAAACATCTATAAATATTTCAGAAAAAATCAATGTTTTTGCATCTATTTCATAAAATATGTCTGTAAAATTGCAAAGTACAATTTTAGTGCAAGATTTTGTCACATAATTTTGGAAATGGTTTCCTATCAGGGTAGGTACAATATTATCACACAATATGAAGATACTTTTATAACCATATATACTATTAGGCATACTGTTCTGGTTTTGTATATATTCCCGTCAAACCTTAAGAAGTACTTTTGTTAAATTACAAGCACCGAAATACCTACAGAATACTATATAAAAGTATACTTGTTAGTTTGTTTTACTAAATGGATTATTAAATTGTATGAATATTAAATTAAGTATATTTGGTAGTGTGTGTTGGGTTTTAATAAACGCAAAATTTTAAGAAACGAGCCTTCTGTTGCGAGCAATTTATAAACATATTTCATTGTTTATAATATTGGTCGATATATAATAAGTATGAATAAAGACTATAAAAATAAAAAACTAACGATAACATAAATATGTGGAATTTCTAGGACGAATATTTTGTCGCGTCACACATTATTAGTATTACTTATTGTAATTGGTAATATAACCAACATGGAATGTGCTTTTTATTTCTTACAATTATAACCTTATTAAACAACTATAAGAAATACGTGTTGCAGTAATCGTTTTTTGCGATTTATATCACAGAATACCATTTTTCCTGCTTTACATACCGTTGCTCAAATTATTGCCGTTAATTGCAAAATATCACATTGTGTTGTATAAAACAAAGCAGGAACCATATAATTTACTGCTATTGTTCTAGTTACATAAGTTTGTAAAAATAAAAAAACATAAAAAACACAATGCAAATAGTTTCTTTTAACGCCGATTTAGTTGCTAGTATAAAACATTTTTAAAATACATTGTTGTTACGACTTGTTTTATGTAACGCGTTTTATGTAACGGTCATTAAAAACAGTATTAATATCAAATGAGTATGAGAGAAATTGATCAAAACTATGATACTTTTCGTGCTTCCAACATTTTGTATTATTGTGTATAAAAAATTGACAAACGTATACAATAATTAATACAATGCATACGTTACATTATTTTTAATATGTTATCATATACAATAATAGAAACTTAAAACCATAAATGCACTGGTTGACTCTATCCTGTTTAAAAAATAATAATGATGCATTTTTTCTACTGACTGCCGTCGGCAAAACAAGTAAAACAAAATACAAAAATTCGGCCTTTTTTTTAAAGAGTCACTGAGTATTATAGCGTATAAATTTCTAATCGTATTAATCGTTCAACCACACTTTCTGAAACGCGTACTCACTTAATCACATTAATTGAAACTTTTAAACTTATATAGCATATACTTTAAGTAGGTATATATTTATATAACATTTACAAACTATAATATATCAGTTCAAAAACAATATAAAGAAAAAATGTCTCTCCTGAGTTTTTTATTTTAACGGTATTAAGACTTGTCATCTTTTATGATCGCTTCTTTTTTTTTGACGGACTAGAAATAAAATTTTGCTTATAACCAAGAAAACATTGTTTTGTATTTTTCATGTTTCATTTTATTGTCATACCGATGTTTACAATTTACAAATATGTTGTTGTAATGCAAACAATTCAAGTTTAATGTTTTCGGCTGGCATGTATACATTTCAGGTTAATTTTCAGTTTCTCACAGATTATCACAATAGTCAATAACTGAGTCTGCGAGTCCACAGACTCACAACGTACTAAATATAAGTAAAACTAATCTCAACTAAAAGATCACACTTTTTCCACTTGCGTTTCTATCGTCAATATAATGTCACAAAAATATCAACTGTTTAAAATCAATAAGTACATAAACTTAATTCTCTTTTATCAGTTCTATACAAATCTGTATAAAGTAATTTTGTTTCTATTTTCTCTTACATTCCAAAACTATAAGTTTATAAGTTCTCATATTAAAATAAGGTAAACTGTTACAAGATGTAGTACTAACTATAGATGATAGTACAAGTATTATAATTATGTAAATGCAATCTTTTTCCACATTTACTTTTTTTAGGTACGATATTTACAGTTTTGTTACACTTCTTCAAATAATTGCAGCGTCAAGTGATATTTTCTATCGAGATATAAAACAATTCTCGGTTCTAGATTTCTTTCAAATCTTTTAAAATGACATATTGACTGAATCTGCTATAATTATTCATACAATTCATATCGTGTACTAAATGAAGAATAAGTTTTAACCTTAGGTCTTCGTGACTTAAAATGTTTAACATCCTCCAAAGTTACAGAACAACCAGTTATATCCAACTCTACCAAGTTTGGTAATGTCAAAGCNAAAATATTCATATCCGTTCTAGTAACATGTGAATAATGTCTGAAAAGAAATAAAACGTTCAGTATTTAAAATATTTTTGGGTTTTGATTTCTAGTCTTACAATTTACCTAATATGTAATTTCTTCAAATTAGTACATCTACTTATACAGCGACTAATATTTGACAACAAATAGTTGTGGAACTGATTGTTTCTGTACATGATTATTTCTTCAACTTTGTTTTCGGCAAGAAGAGACTATAGCAACAGAAGGTAAATCATTATCAAGTGCGCAAGAGAAAATTGATAATTTTTGTTAAAATACTATTGTATAATACACGGAAGCGTGTATGTTTAAGAGACAAAAATAAAGAAAACAAAAAAGGTGAAAAACATACTTTTACTGTACATAAAAAGTCATAAAGCTTTTCATCAAAAAAACGTAAAGAAATGTATTCTTCGAAATCAAAGTATTCTAATTCTGCTAATGATTCATTCGAACATTTTTTCCTTAAATATTTTGGACACTGTAGATACACTTCCTTTAAAGATTCAATTTGACAAAACCATTCAACTAATCTATGTTCTACTAGTGTGTTTGTAAAGTCTAAAAGCTATAAAAAACCAAAACAGAAAAAAACGTTTCTAGAAACGTGTGCTTTTAAATGTAGAAAAAACAAAAGTTTGCAGTACTATTAATGTTTTGTAATAACCATTACCTGTAGGTTGTGGCATTTACAAGTGACAGTGACTAAATCTATGTCTGAATTAAATTCTTGTATACGAAAACATGATCTTACGTAAAGGTATAGAAGATCTGTAAGGTTACTTATACTTGACAGAAATGTCGAATATGACGTATTCCATACAACATCAAAGAAGTACAAAGACTAAAAGTAATATTGTTACTACAGTATTGTGTTTGTATACACAATATGTGTGTGTATAATGCAATACAATAGATATAGAAAGATACATATAAATACGTAAAATATGTATAATACAATATAACTTACTTGTACATAGGGTACAAACCTACATATTCCACGAAAAAAATAAGTCGTACAAAATTCTAGCTTAATAATAGAACAAGCTATACAATTTATGATTTCAAGTTCCACAATAGTTGTTGACATTTCTGGCGTAACCTAAAATCAATTTTAATAAAGTGACATGTTTTTGTACCACAACTGAGAACAAAACTTTAACAAATTCGAAAAATGCTATACATAGAGTGTGCCCCGCATAATAGTACTATAAGAATGTCTAATGTACTTTGATCGCAATATAATTGTCACAGACATATTTGATGATATATCATACGATTATTATCATTATTATCATTCTAAAAGTATTTAAACGTAACAAACCGTACTTCTGTAATTAATGNTAATTTTTATATTTATTGTTGTAAATTTCAAACAGCGAAAGAGCATCGTATTAAAACATTGTATTTTACATTTTGTNTGACNACTCTTTTTAAGAAATTTAGACTTTGCACAAAACACTTTATATACAAGTATTACTTNACACACGATTACATNGTAAGCGATTGAATTNTGAACGGTTAACGCATTGTATTTTAGCATTAGTAAAAATGTACTACCACTTAAAATCAAGATCGTACCGCATAAAAAAGAAAGTAAAAGAACTATCGTATTTTATTTTTCTAATAACTGATACGATTGAGAGAATAGTTCTATGTGTNCGTACTGTGTAAATATTTTTATAAAATTGAAATATACCTCATCTACATTAATAAAATAGTCCGCGATCCTTAATGTGTGAAGTACTTGGCATATTTGTTTTAGTTTGAAAAAAAACAAACGTCCAAGGATATTTTCTTTGCCTCGTTCAATATCTCCACGTATTGACAAGGTGTGTGTTAATGGTTCTAAAAACGTTTGATATGGCTCCATTTGAAATGGAAGAATAGGTTCATTGCTATAGTCGTACGTCCAGAAAGATCTATCTAGTGCTATGTCTGAAAATTTTCTGCAACACCTGTAAGAAATAAATTTCACAAAAAGAATTAGTTTTAAAAAATATAAATTAAGACTATATTATTGTAATGAGAAGCGAGTGATAATATCTCAAACGATTATGTATATTGTTACGAACTGTTACACAAACTTAATGTGTACTAATAACTCTGTTTTTCTGAAAGACACAGTTTTTCAACAACAGCAATNTCGTACTACTGTCGCGATTTCTGCATTGTTTTGGATATTTATTTATCATTCGCTTTACATAAATACGAAAACTCACAATCGGAGATTCCTTAAGTCGGTTTTGTCTAACTTTTTCAATATATAAAGAAGAACTTTATCTGGGAAGTCAAGAATATGTTTTGATTTTTGGCGGTCAGTTGTTTCT